ATTAAATGAAATTATTGTTTTAAATACTCCCGACTGCTGACCGATAAGACGTATATTTAAAACCATCACAGTACTATCACGAGTTAAATTGTAATATATTACCACGAAAAGTAACTGATTATTAATTATTAAAGTTGCCAATACAAAGTGGACATACGTAAAATATTCGACTGTCATGGGACATTTCGACTGCCCGCGGAGGGGGACAATGCAACATTTGGTTGATTTTTGAATCACCTCCGTCTAGCTTTCGCTATCCCTCTCACAACACCGCACCGCGCATAATATATTACTAGGAAAAATTACTGTTTTACATTTATTTAATATTTAATAATTTTGTTTTATAATATGCAATCGCGTTAACGAAAAAAAGTTAATGTGGCGACTCTTATCAGTCGCAATAACGAAAACCCACCAAGCAGCTACCTTTTGTTAAGCGCTCGGTGGGAACATCCAAGCGCCTGTAGCACTCGACCATACAAGCGCCCGTAACACTCGACCACGCGCAAGTGCCGCCCAACGCGCAACTACCGCGGTACGCCCACCAGAGGACTAGCGCCGATAATGTTATCGCGTGCGAAGAATCGGTCCAGGGCCCTTATAGATAAGGCGCCGAACCGATCAACCGGCACCGAGCAGCGGGCCGAGCAGCGGCATGCAGGGCGATACCTCCCCGCAATTTTTATCGCCGCTGCGGTCTAACGAGTAGCAGCAGCTACCGCAGCCATCGCAGCTACAGCAGCCAACGCAGCCTCAGCAGCAGCAGCAGCCGCCGATGCAGCCTCGACAGCAGCAGCCATCGCAGCCTCGTCAACAGCAGCCATCGCAGCCCCCGCAACAGTCTCGAGCATCGAGCAACCAACGCAACAGCCTCGAGCATCGAGCAACCACCGCAACAGCCTCGAGCATCGAGCAACCAACGCAACAGCCTCGAGCATCGAGCATCCACCGCAATAGCCTCGGGCATCGAGCAACCACCGCATCAGCCTCGAGCATCGAGCAGCCAACGCAACAGCCTCGAGCATCGAGCAGCCACCGCAACAGCCTCGAGCATCGAGCAGCCAACGCATCAGCCTCGAGCATCGAGCAGCCAACGCAACAACCTCGAGCATCGAGCAGCCTCCGCAACAGCCTCGAGCACCGAGCAGCCCCTGCAACAGCCTCGAGCATCGAGCAGCCCCCGCAACAGCCTCGAGCATCGAGCAGCCTCCGCAACAGCCTCGAGCACCGAGCAGCCCCTGCAACAGCCTCAAGCGACCAACGCAACAGCCTCGAGCATCGAGCAGCCAACGCAGCAGCCTCGAGCAGCAAGCAGCCTTCGCGACAGCCTCGAGCACCGAGCAGCCTCCGCGACAACCTCGAGCATCGAGCAATCTCATCACCAAGCGGCCTTCTCCTCGTGCCCCCACTACGACGAAGAATAGTAGTCACTGGGGTCCTGAGAAGAGAATCCGAATAAAGCCTCCGCTCGCGACTGGAGCCTCTCTACCGGAGAGATCAACAGGCCCGTGCCAGGGTCAACGAAATACAAAGCCAACAACACACTTGTACCTGTACTTAGTGCAATAAACCTTGTACATAAATTATATACAGAGTCTCGACTTCAACCTCTCTCTTGCGATACCTGGCGCCGCACCGACAGAGCCCGACAGCGACGGCCGGTCGGTGACTCATCTTACATCTACCAGTAGCGGGTAGACGTAACCGCACTCACATATCGCTACAGTTAATATGTTGTTATAAATCTGACGTGTCAATATTAGACGGTTAGCGAAAGCAGTCTTGAGGATTGTTATCAAAACAACACATCAAGTGGAAGGGCGAATGCGAGTCGCACGTCCCCCCCGCACCAGGCTCACCGATAAACCGTTTTAAATACATATTAAATAAAACTATTATTTTAAATACTACCGACTGCTGACCGATATGACGTACATATATTTAAAACTATCGCAGTACTATCACGAGTTAAATTGTTAATATATTACCACGAAGAGTAACTGATTATTAAAGTTGCTATTACAAAGTGAATATACAAAAAGTGTACGTAACTTTCGGCCGATTTTCGAATCGCCTCCGCTTTCCGCTGTACCCCTCACCACATATTTAATACGTATTAAATACATATATACATATTTGAAATATATATTTTAAATAATAAAAT